TGTTGTGTTGTGGACGTGACCAAAATCTGTTGTGGAGGTGACATTTTGGGGATGTTCAAGAAAGAGCTTTTCATTCACCACTAATAACGTTCAGAGTAATGCCACTGAAGTAAAAATGCTGTTTTTATTGCTTTTATCTGTAAATTGGGAAATAAATAATAAATAAAATATAAAAACTTTGCTGATCTAGGTCATTTTGTACGTCAAAGGGCATTTATATATTTTTGGAAAATCTAGATTTGGATTCTTATAGAACTATGTATAAGCTTTCATAAAAGTAAGTTTGGCTCTCATATTTTGAATTTGAAAATATGTCAAATCTTCATGTCTCATGTGGAATAGCACTAAGGTATTATTGATATTAGAATTAGTATCATTATTACTATTATTATTGTTGTTGTTCTTGTTATATTGTTATTATTATTAGTAGTAGTAGTAGTTGTAGTAGTAGTAGTAACAGTAGCAGTAATAGTAGTAGTAATAGTAGAGGCAGTCACATGATTTACAAGTGCTTCTTTATATAATTATTATATTTCTTCATTTATTATCTAGTTGCCCAGCTTGAATATAGATCTCAAACTCATGCTTTGTTTTTGTCGCTTTCGTGTCGCTTTTTGTTCATATGATTCAAAGATACATTGACTGTTTTTTTTTTTTATGGTCAAGATTCCATTTACATTAACTTACAAGACATATTTCTTGCTGTACATGTACATTATTTTACTGACTTGCTGTAAGAAAATAATTAGTCCTAATTGACATTTTGTTGTTTTCACGTGAAGGTATTTCATGCATCAGTACAAGCATTGTACAAAATACAATGGAAATTTGTACAATGGAGCTTGGTTTCCTATATGTCCAAGGGTAACTATATACATTGTAATTTGCTCTGAATAGTAGCTTGCACTTGAGGAATATTATGGCATTCATTTTGGGGCACACAAAATGCACTCATCTTTACACTAGTGCTGTAGTTCTGCAGTATTCATTTTATGATGTTGTTGCTGTTCTGTTTTACATCTATTTTTCTCTTTTCCCCTCTCTTTTGAACAGGATGATTGTGTACTCGTTGGAAGCATGGATGGGTGCTTTGGATTGTAGAGAAAAAAAGGACAAAGGGCATGATTTAGGAACACCCAAACATGGAACACTCCTTTTTGCAGACCTGCAGGTTGATGTTGACAATTTTGTCAACAGTTATGGCAAAGCTGGAGCAGACATGGAACAGGTCTGTATATAAGATGATGCAATGCTCAGATGCTAATTTGAGAACTGTATGATTTTCCCTTTTGGCCCTTTGAATTCAAGATTTTCTGTTTTTGTTCCTTTTTTATAACAGAACTGCAGTAAGTTCCATGCTGGAGAGGTTCTTTCAGCTTTAAGATCAAAAGGCAAAAACAAACTCTTTGACGAGAAAGGTGTCTTTGGGCGAGTATGCAGACATGACTTTCCTAAAGGATTCCTTAACATAAAGCATGGTGAAAGGTATGGAGTATAATTATGTAAATACATTTTACCTAATGTTGTGCTCAATCCTACATGTATTGTCTGTTAGAATTACATGATAGAGCCATGATTATTATGAATTTGTCAAGCTGACAATTAGCACACTTGTATATACAATGCAGGAGCATCCTATGATTTTTTACACTAATAGCATCATCATTGTATAACTTTGTTTTAAATTTGAATGTCATATTATAGGAAAATA